AATTGGCAGGCGCCTCTAACTTGGCTGATTACATTCCTTTTATAGCTCCCCTTGACCTCCAAGGGTTTACAAAACGGATGAAGTCTGTTAACAAGGCGTTTGATACCTTTTTTGAGAAGATCATTGAGGAACATCTTCAATCTAACGATGGAGAAAGGACTAAAGACTTTGTTGATGTCATGGTGGGCTTCATGGGATCCGAAGAATCTGAATACCAAATCGAACGCCCTCATATCAAAGCGATAATAATGGTTAGTATACACAAAAACTTAAACATATAGGCATGGTGGTATTAAACACTAAATCCTTGCATCATTTTAATTATTTGTCCTTTTATTCTAGCATTGCTCGATGTAAAACGAAATCATTTCTTGTGAGAAAATTTAACATGTCGAGGATTAAGATTTGTGAATCTGAACCATTAATTAGGTGGAATTTTGTTTCAATTGATCAGTTATACATGTCCCTTTTGTTATTTATCATGTGTATATGGTTTTGTCTATGTCTGTTACACCACTTAATGTAAAAAAATGGCAAAATTTCTTTGCAGGACATGCTGGTGGCCTCCATGGACACGTCATCAACAACGGTCGACTGGGCACTGTCCGAGCTAATGAGGCATCCAAAAGCAATGAAACAAGTCCAAAAGGAGCTAGAAGATGTTGTTGGATTGGAGAGAATGGTAGAGGAATCAGACTTGGAGAAATTGGACTACTTGAGCATGGTAGTGAAGGAAACCCTGAGGCTACACCCAGTTGCGCCATTGTTGGTTCCTCATGCGGCCACTGAAGACTGCATCGTCAATGGCTACCACATACCCAAAAAATCGCGCGTTATCATAAATGCTTGGGCAATTGGGAGAGACCCGAGTGCTTGGACTGATGCAGAGGAGTTCATACCAGAAAGATTTGAGGGTAGCGACGTTGATGTTAGAGGAAATCACTTTCAGCTTATCCCATTTGGCTCTGGCCGAAGACGTTGCCCAGGAATTCAGTTAGGGCTCACTGTGGTCCAGTTAATGTTGGCACAACTTGTCCACTGTTTTGATTGGGAACTTCCAAATAACATGTTGCCAGAAGAATTGGACATGAGTGAGTCTTTTGGCATTACGGTGGAAAGGGCCAAACGCCTAATCGCTATTCCTTCTTATCGACTTCACAAATGATCATAATATGTCTACAATGCCTCATTTTGTAGTTTTAATATTTTGTTGTGTCGTTTCTGTTTTTCTAATATATACCATTTGTGACGCGTTACATTTGTTTTCTTCACTTGAAGAAAATTATAAATAAATTAAATAAAATTGCGTTACGTACTTAAGTTGAGGGTCTTTCTCCTTTGGTTTACAACTTGGATAAATTTCTTCAAACAAGATACAAATAAGCAGACTATATTTTGTAAACATCAGGCACCCCATGTCCCAATCTTTATCTGTAGATTTTTTATTCTTGTTCTTCTTTAGGTGACATTGTCTTATGGGAACAATCTTTTATTATCACAAGGAGAATCCTGAAAACAAAAAACAATATAAAAAACTACTTAAACACTCATCTGTTTATATTGATTGAAAGAGAAATTCAAAGCAAAACCTAGATCCAACTCACCCTTAACAAAACCACAATACAATAATACTTGCTATTGAAAATACAACGAACATGGTTTTTACCAACTAGCTATTGGTCCAGCAGTATTTTTCATCTCAACGTTGAAAGTGATTCCAAATTCGATTCCCCATTCTCCATTAACAAAAAAGGAAAGACCAAACAATCATAGAATTGAACTAAAAACATATTTCAAAAAGTTCACTTTGAACCCACTATAGAAGAGGAGGAATAAAATTATAGTCTCAATCTCTGATATCTCAGTAGTTGGGATAACTTTTGTAAAAGAAGAAGGAATACGAATTGTATTGTTATTTGTATAAAAATGGTTACAAGATATTTTCGGCTATCCTCCCATACACTTTACAGAGAAAGATAAGCTTATATATATACAAGTAAAACCCTAAGAGGGAAATTCTAGTTGTAAAAGAGAAGGGTGAGCTGTAGCCCTTATCCTATGCCAGCAATGCATGAGGTATGCTATCAAAACATCTGCTATTTGTTTAGAAACGTTTTGCTAAATATATTTGTGGCAAAAGACTAAACGAGGAATTGTGATCAACAAGATTCATGAAGGAAAGCATGTTGTGATTTATCTACGAATCTTCATGTGTTTACCCTTTTTTGTTTTTTTTTTGTTTTTCTCTCTTTAGTCCATCAAATCGAGTTTCCTCCCTTCCGGTGGTAAAAGAAACCATGTAAGGAACACAATGACATGATCCGTGGTTCATCAGTGGCTCACTCACTTTGGCCACAAAAGAACAGTGGCTTTTGTTAGTATGGGCCACCAATTGATATGTGACCAATTTTGAGGTTTTGTAGAAGGGGCATGATTGTTACTCTAAGATACGTAATGTACATAAAGTAATAAGTACATGGATAAAGATATGAATGAAAAGCAGTCTAAAGAAATTAGATTCACTAGAACTTTCCATCATAGAAATATTGAATCCTAAACTACTCATGGTCATAGGATCACCAATTGGACAATGGTAATTTGCGAAGACTGCTACACACTATGTCTGCTCAATTCGAAGGATGACTAGTCAACTCAATTCAGAGTTCACTAAACGTGATCAACTGAAGAATTTTTGTATGGAAGTTTTACTCACAAGTGTCAAACAAAGAATTCTAAAGTTATGATAAAGCAAATTAGTCCTTGCATATGAGACATCGCAGTTGTCTTGTGTATGGGTTACTTGTCTTTGAGAACACCATACAGTCGTATTAAAAGGATGTGACTTAAAGGTGTTCCTCATGATACTCAACACATGCATAGAGGCATGTGAATGTACGACATGGAATCTCTACTCTTAGTAAGAAGAGAGAATAATCTAAATATATGATTCGTTGAATCTTTAGCCAAAGTATAGGATGATAATTGAAACAAGAATGTTTGCAATTACATCCAAGAGAATCATATAACCTAAAGATGTCATGTTAGAAACTTGACACGAGTTAACCATATCCCAACAACACGACATCGAGCATTGTAATAGAGAAAAAACTAAATTGCATTGTAATCACAAACTGACTAGGTTCAATAGATGAATTATATTTAGCTTGGGTGGCCATGAGAAGGTTTGGAGCCTTGAAACTCCACGAGGAGGAAAAGATCAATTACCAGAAAACCTTCCTCTCCCAAAAGAATTAGACATAGAACCAGAGCGCCGAGCATTGGCATGAAAACCAGAAGAAGATACAGGAACAGTCAAGAGAGTTGGAAGTAACCAACGCCTGTATTGCGAGAGCCAGAAGAAGTATGACCAATCATGGCCACCATATGAGTATGATGAGCTGAAATGCGCGATTCAATAGATTGTTCAGTAATTAAAAGCTGAGTGCAAAACTCTTTGAACGAAATGGAAGTATCTCGAGCAATGAGAACTATCTTGATCATATCGTACTTGGAAGGTAATCCATTGAGGGCTACGATCATGAGATCATCATCCGAAATCGAAACTCAAGCAATGGACAACTGATCCTTGATATGTTTGAGACACATGAGAAATTTATCGATTGAATCACCACCTTTTTGAGCCGTCTGCAACTCAGTCTAGAGATGATTGATCCGAGCACGAGACACGGTGGCATAGCGATTAGAGAGGCTCAACCAAGCATCACGAGCAGTTTTACTACTAATAACATATTCAATCTCGTTGTCCGAAAGTGTTGCAATAAAAAATGTCAATAACGCTTTATCAACCCGAAGCCACTCCTTATATGCCCCAGTAACCTCAAAGGTGACCCTTTCTTCATCCAAAATAGCAAATTTTGGGGGAGCAATGATAGATCCATTGAAATGGCCAAAAAGATCATAACCTTCTAGGATAAATTCAATCTGATATTGCCATTTCAAGAAATTATCATCATTCAAATGCAGAGTGACCATTCCTATCAATCCTTCAATTTTGAGAGACGAAGCTACCTTGATGCAGAAAAATAGAATGTCAAAGAAATCTTGGAAGAGGAAATTGTCAAACAACACAGAAGAAAGATGAGAGTTTTGGAATAGAAGAAGAAGACGTAAAATTGATAAAGAAATTGAGTAGGAAATCGAAGAAATTGATCATAAAAACAGGAAAGGAATTGAGCATGAAATTGAAGAAATTGACGTGAATTTGAAGAAGGGGAAAGAAAGAGAACATGAAATCATAGTTGAAAACAATAGAAGCACATCATGATTAGAGGGTACGAGCCACGGAGGGCTCTAATACCATGCTAACAATTGAGGAAGAATTGAGAAGAAGAAGAAGAATCAATAAATCGGAGAGCGAAAATGGGAATAGTGTTTGAGATTTTTATTTTTAATTGTTGAATATTACAGTACCAAGAGACCTTTATACTTTGGGCTTTACGTAGTAATTAAGCTAGCTCTCTGTAAGTAACTGAAAAATACACGTGACTATTACAACAGCTAATGCAAACTAACACACATGGTTAACGCAACAATCTTGACACATCAGCAACTTTGCCATGTCAGCTATTAGCCAAACAGTTAGCTCATACAGGAGAGCTAACATTATTGACCTTTCAGAAAATTATCAAGATATAACAAGCGTTGATGTTGAATTCCATCCTACACAATAAATGAAAATCACTATATCTCAGCCATTTGAGATCTAGATTGGAGATCTAGATTTTCATTTGGAGATCTAGATTTATTCTAATATAGTGGCTCTCCAATGGCCTACGCTCTTCGAAACTTAGCGACGGTGACGTTTCAATTGGACCAAAAAGGAAGAGTGATAACGAGTCCAGAGAAAGGAAAAAACAAGAATTAAACTCACTATCGTGGAACAATAAATGCCACCCACTCGTGCCGACATGAAAGTACGAAGAAAATAGTCTTACTTGTACACCAAGAGACGTGTGTCCATTCAGAGGATTAAGCCATATCAAGGCTATAATGTTGGTGAGTATACATATACACCAAATCCTAGCATCATTTTTTATATAAATTATTTGTCCTTTTATTTTTGCATTTCTCAAAGTAAAAGGACATTGTTTCATGTTAGATAATTTAACATCTCATTATCTAAGATTGTGAATCTGAATCATTATTTAGGAGTAACATTACCTTCAAATATATATTTAACATGTAAATGCCTTATCTAATTTATCATCTATGTCATGTGTGCTACACTACTTCATGTAAACTATGGCGAATTTCTTTGCAGGACATGCTGGTGGCCTCCATGGACACATCAGCGACAACGATTGAGTGGGCACTCTCCGAACTCATGAGGCATCCGAAAGCGATGAAGAAAGTCCAAAAAGAGCTAGAAAATGTTGTTGGATTGGATAAAATGGTGGAGGAATCAGACTTGGAGAAATTGGACTACTTGAACATGGTAGTGAAGGAAACCTTTAGGCTACATCCAGTAGCACCATTACTGATTCCTCATGCATCCATTGAAGATTGCACTGTCAATGGATACCACATACCCAAAAAATCTCGGGTCCTCATAAACGTGTGGGCAATCGGGAGAGACCCGAATGCTTGGACAGATGCAGAGAAGTTCATACCAGAAAGATTTGAGGGTAGCAGCGTTGATGTTAGAGGAAATCACTTTCAGCTTATCCCATTCGGCTCTGGCCGAAGACGTTGCCCTGGAATTCAGCTAGGCCTTACTGTGGTGCAGTTAGTGCTGGCACAACTTGTGCATTGTTTTGATTGGGAACTTCCGAATAACATGTTGCCAGAAGAGTTGGACATGACTGAGGAGTTTGGCCTTACGGTTCCAAGGGCCAAGCACCTACTCGCTATACCTTCCTATCGCCTTCGCAAATCAGCATAAGGTGCATGTACCACTCTTGTAGCTTCATATATTTGCTTTCTTCACCTGAGGAAAATAAAGATAAAAAAGAATTGAATAAAATTGTGTTGATCACTTAAAATTAGAGGTGCTGCAGAACACGACCTGTTAAATTTGAGGGTCCATTCTTTCAATTTTCATATTCTTTGTTTTCATTTGTAAAAAAATTAAAAACAGAAAACTTTCAAAAGGAGATACAGAAACATGACAAGATGGTCAAATCTAATTTGGTCGGCTCCAATGGCCCACCAAATTAGAGAAGTTTTGCTGAACAAGATAAGAGCTGATAACTCAGTCAGTGCCATTGAATTTAGCCACCTACTCAAGTCTTGCTGACATGAATAAACCAAGAAAATTGTCTTACTCGAGTTTCCTCTCCTCACGTGAACTTGTCAACAGAAGCATGGTTTATGCAATCACAATATTAGA